CAAATGGTCCTCAAAAGAAAGCAGGGGTAGCCATCCTTATATCGGATAAACTAAAATTTAACCCGAAGACTACAGTGAGAGATGAAGAGGGAAACTATCTCATACTTAAAGGATCTATCCAACAAGAGGACTTAACAATCCTCAATATATATGCCCCGAATGTGGGAGCTGCCAAATATTTAAACCAATTAATAACCAAAGTGAAGAAATACTTAGGTAATAATACACTTATACTTGGTGACTTCAATCAAGCTCTTTCTATACTAGATAGGTCTTCTAAGCACAACATCGCCAAAGAAACGAGAGCTTTAAATGATACACTGGACCAGATGGATTTCACAGATATCTACAGAACTTTACATCCACTCAACTGAATACACATTCTTCTCAAGTGCACATGGAACTTTCTCCAGAATAGACCACATACTGGGTCACAAATCAGGTCTGAACCGATACCAAAAGATTGGGATCGTCCCCTGCATATTCTCAGACCATAATGCGTTGAAATTAGAACTAAATCACAACAAGAAGTTTGGAAGGACCTCAAACACGTGGAGGTTAAGGTTAAGGACCATCCTGCTAAAAGATGAAAGGGTCAACCAGGAAATTAAGGAAGAATTAAAAAGATTAATGGAAACTAATGAGAATGAAGATACAACCGTTCAAAATCTTTGGGATGCAGCAAAAGCAGTCCTGAGGGGGAAATACTTCGCAATACAAGCATCCATTCAAAAACTGGAAAGAACTCAAATACAAAAGCTAACCTTACACATAAAGGAGCTAGAGAAAAAACAGGAAATGGACCCAACGCCCAGCAGAAGAAGAGAGTTAATTAAAATTCGAGCAGAACTCAACGAAATTGAGACCAGAAGAACTGTGGAACAGATCAATAGAACCAGGAGTTGGTTCTTTGAAAGAATTAGTAAGATAGATAAACCATTAGGCAGCCTTAATAAAAAGAAGAGAGAGAAGACTCAAATTAATAAAATCATGAATGAGAAAGGAGAGATCACTACCAACACCAAGGAAATACAAACGATTTTAAAAACATATTATGAACAGCTCTATGCCAATAAATTAGGCAATCTAGAAGAAATGGACGCATTCCTGGAAAGCCACAAACTACCAAAACTGGAACAGGAAGAAATAGAAAACCTGAACAGGCCAATTACCAGGGAGGACATTGAAGCAGTCATCAAAAACCTCCCAAGACACAAGAGTCCAGGGCCAGATGGCTTCCCAGGGGAATTCTATCAAACGTTTAAAGAAGAAATCATACCTATTCTACTAAAGCTGTTTGGAAAGATAGAAAGAGATGGAGTACTTCCAAATTCATTCTATGAGGCCAGCATCACCTTAATTCCAAAACCAGACAAAGACCCCACCAAAAAGGAGAATTACAGACCAATATCCCTGATGAACATGGATGCAAAAATTCTCAACAAGATACTAGCCAATAGGATCCAACAACACATTAAAAAAATTATTCACCATGACCAAGTAGGATTTATCCCCGGGACACAAGGCTGGTTCAACACTCGTAAAACACTCAATGTGATTCATCATATCAGCAAGAGAAAAACCAAGAACCATATGATCCTCTCATTAGATGCAGAGAAAGCATTTGACAAAATACAGCATCCATTCCTGATCAAAACTCTTCAGAGCGTAGGGATAGAGGGAACATTCCTTGACATCTTAAAAGCCATCTACGAAAAGCCCACAGCAAATATCATTCTCAATGGGGAAGCACTGGGAGCCTTTCCCCTAAGATCAGGAACAAGACAGGGATGTCCACTCTCACCACTGCTATTCAACAGAGTACTGGAAGTCCTAGCCTCAGCAATCAGACAACAAAAAGACATTAAAGGCATTCAAATTGGCAAAGAAGAAGTCAAACTCTCCCTCTTCGCCGATGACATGATACTCTACATAGAAAACCCAAAAGCTTCCACCCTAAGATTGCTAGAACTCATACAGCAATTTGGTAGCGTGGCAGGATACAAAATCAATGCCCAGAAATCAATGGCATTCCTATACACTAACAATGAGACTGAAGAAAGAGAAATTAAGGAGTCAATCCCATTTACAATTGCACCCAAAAGCATAAGATACCTAGGAATAAACCTAACCAAAGAGGTAAAGGATCTATATACCCTAAAAACTATAGAACACTTCTGAAAGAAATCAAGGAAGACACAAAGAGATGGAAAAATATTCCATGCTCATGGATTGGCAGAATTAATATTGTGAAAATGTCAATGTTACCCAGGGCAATTTACATGTTTAATGCAATCCCTATCAAAGTACCATGGACTTTCTTCAAAGAGTTAGAACAAATTATTTTAAGATTTGTGTGGAATCAGAAAAGACCCTGAATAGCCAGGGGAATTTTAAAAAAGAAAACCATATCTGGGGGCATCACAATGCCAGATTTCAGGTTATACTACAAAGCTGTGGTCCTCAAGACAGTGTGGTACTGGCACAAAAACAGACACATAGATCAATGGAACAGAATAGAGAACCCAGAAGTGGACCCTCAACTTTATGGTCAACTAATATTCGATAAAGGAGGAAAGACGATCCACTGGAAGAAAGACAGTCTCTTCAATAAATGGTGCTGGGAAAATTGGACATCCACATGCAGAAGAATGAAACTAGACTACTCTCTTGCACCATACACAAAGATAAACTCAAAATGGATGAAAGATCTAAATGTGAGACAAGATTCCATCAAAATCCTAGAGGAGAAGACAGGCAACACCCTTTTTGAACTCAGCCACAGTAACTTCTTGCAAGATTCATCCACGAAGGCAAAAGAAACAAAAGCAAAAATGAACTATTGGGACTTCATCAAGATAAGAAGCTTTTGCACAGCAAAGGATACAGTCAACAAAACTCAAAGACAACCTACAGAATGGGAGAAGATATTTGCAAATAACATATCAGATAAAGGGCTAGTTTCCAAGATCTATAAAGAACTTATTAAACTCAACAGCAAAGAAACAAACAATCCAATCATGAAATGGGCAAAAGACATGAACAGAAATTTCACAGAGGAAGACATGGACATGTCCAACATGCACATGAGAAAATGCTCTGCATCACTTGCCATCAGGGAAATACAAATCAAAACCACAATGAGATACCACCTCACACCAGTGAGAATGGGGAAAATTAACAAGGCAGGAAACAACAAATGTTGGAGAGGATGCGGAGAAAAGGGAACCCTCTTACACTGTTGATGGGAATGTGAACTGGTGCAGCCACTCTGGAAAACTGTGTGGAGGTTCCTCAAAGAGTTAAAAATAGACCTGCCCTATGACCCAGCAATTGCACTGTTAGGGATTTACCCCAAAGATACAGATGCAATGAAACGCCAGGACACCTGCACCCCGATGTTTCTAGCAGCCATGTCCACAATAGCCAAACTGTGGAAGGAGCCTCGGTGTCCATCGAAAGATGAATGGATAAAGAAGATGTGGTTTATGTATACAATGGAATATTACTCAGCCATTAGAAACGACAAATACCCACCATTTGCTTCAACGTGGATGGAACTGGAGGGTATTATGCTGAGTGAAGTAAGTCAATTGGAGAAGGACAAACATTGTTTGTTCTCATTCATTTGGGGAATATAAATAATAGTGAAAGGGAATATAAGGGAAGGGAGATGAAATGTGTGGGAAATATCAGAAAGGGAGACAGAACATAAAGACTCCTAACTCTGGGAAACAAACTAGCGATGGTGGAAGGGGAGGAGGGCAGGGGGTGGGGGTGAATGGGTGATGGGCACTGAGGGGGGCACTTGACGGGATGAGCACTGGGTGTTATTCTGTATGTTGGTAAATTGAACACCAATAAAAAATAAATTTATTAAAAAAAAAGATGCATCTCAACCCTCACTTCCACAGGAATTCATTAAATGCATGTAGGTGGTACCCAAATTCCAAACAAATTATGTTCCAAATACTCATTTGCACATCTCCTTGGATCTAAAGGCACATTTTCTCAAATAATTATGTTTGCCTTGATACATAGAAGAATTAGACATTAAAAAGCAAAATAATATTATTCCTTCTAGAATAGTCCTTTGTCTACTTTTTAGTTTGAAATTTGTAATAGTTTAGAGCTCTGTTGTTTACATTGCAGATTATGTACAATGATACTATGTAAATTATTTCTGGTTTTGAAAGCTTGTAATTTCATGTATTCTTTATCCCATATTAGAGATTTCAGGGATTTGTAGCACCTTAGTTTAAAGCTCCACCCCCCAACCCTGTTGGAGTTGGTAAAAAAAGAAAAGGGGGGGAATCTAATATTTACATATTCTGGGAGAACTATATTGGACAGATTCTTACTCCAAATTTTTAAAAAGTGAAGAATGTCTAATTTGAACATCTCCCTCCTATTTCTTATTTTATTTTTAGCTTTTTTTTAATTTTTAAATTTATTTATGGTAGTCACAGAGAGAGAGAGAGAGAGAGAGAGAGAGAGAGAGAGGCAGAGACATAGGCAGAGGGAGAAGCAGGCTCCATGCACCGGGAGCCTGATGTGGGATTCGATCCCGGGTCTCCAGGATCGCGCCCTGGGCCAAAGGCAGGCGCTAAACCCCTGCGCCACCCAGGGATCCCTTATTTTTAACTTTTAATCTGTGATCCTCTGTATCAAGTTTTGGTTCCTCTAAAGTGGATAGAAGTTATATAAGTCCCACTTCTAAAGAGTAAACAGATGACCTTTTAGAAAAAAAATCACAGACTAGCTAATATCACTACAAATTCAGCCTCTCATAAATCTTGATGCCATCTTTTTCCTGCCTAAATCAATTGCTGGTAAATCTCCAGTGGCAAAGGCAGTGGCCATTTACTTCCCCTAAAAGTCCCATGACTTTTAATGTTCATAAAATGGGAAATTTCCAAATTTATTTAGAAAGCCATATAATTAGAAGAGGGCAATTAACCATGACAACATATCTTTTGGCAACTACTTCATTTTTCAACTTACGATTTCCATATTAAATTTAGAATCATGCACACAATGGGGACTATGAGAAAACCCAGCCAGAAGTATGGACAAACCAGGATCATATTGACCTGCAAATAAACAGAGATAAAGAGTATTTGCATAGGAATCTTTTAGTTTGTCAGTATTGGGTACCAAGTGCAACATTCAGTTTCCTTTTTCCTCCACAAAAACCTGGAGATGCAGGCATAGTCTAGAACCACTAAATCAATGTAAGTATGTAAAACCTAACTAATAATATTAGCTATAACAACAAATCAAATAAATATTTTGATCAAATAAGTTTTATTTCAGGAATGCAAGAATGGTTCAACCTTATATTACCTAGCAATACAACTTTAACTTCCAGACATTGTGTGTAAGGCAAATGCCTTATAGTCCCTGGAAAAATTCACTCCTCTCTGTCTGACAGATTAATTGGTAGCCAACTGATCACTTTAATTCAATCAAGACTGTACTGACTTGAGATTAGGTTAGGCTCTGTATTGCATATATTTTTAATTTTCTGTATATTCCGACACTTCAACATCTTAAAAATTTTCTATCTGAAGACTGCCCCTCCCAGGGCTAGTCTGTACTTAGAGATAGTAAGATCTCAACTGGGATGATGCCTTTGATCTGCAAACTAAAGGGCTAAATCCACAGCCCCATCTTCTCTAACTGGCCCAGGAGACAATATTCCTCTGCTGTAATCATCCCAGAATCAGGTACCAGGCAACTAGAAACCACCTCTATCCCAAAGCCTGCAAAAATCATTCAGACTAGCCATTCCTGGGCTATTTGCCCTTCCCTGCCATGCTTTCCCCAGGGAAGTCCCAATAAAGGCAAGGTCTTAGTGCTCCCCAGCTCCTGTGTTCTGCCCACTGACCACCCTGGTATCTTTCCCATGTGGCCCTATATGGTATTCTGTGCTTTATCTTTAGGACCTGTGAGAATAATAAATTTTGTTAAAATGGCAATAGTAAGTTGTTACCTATCAGTAATTTAAGTGTAGATAGATTAGATTTTCCAATCAAAAGACACAGACTGAATAAAAAAAATCCAATATGCTGCTGCTAAGAGACTCACTTCAGCTTTAAGGAAACAAAGGGACAAAGTAAAGATATTGAAAAAGATATTACAAGTAAATTGTAACCAAAAGAGAGCAGGAGTGGCTATACTTCTATTAAATAGACATTCTGCCAAATCGGTCATAAGAGACAAAGGAGATCAAAATATTGTGGGGCTCAATTCATTAAGAAGATAGAAGAATTGTAAATTTATTTGCACCCCGCATTGGAGCACCTAAATATTTAAACAATATTCACAAAACTGAAGAGGGAAAGTCATGGCAATATAATAATAGTAGGGAATTCAATACTCCACTTTCAACAATGGATAGATCATTTGGAGAAAATCAATAAGGAAATAGCTTACCTGAATAAAACAATAGACAAAATGGACCGTATAGACATATACAGAGCATTCAATCCAACAGCCCCAGAATACACATTTCTCTCCAGTGCACATGGAACACTACATGATTGATCACAAGTTGGGGCACAAAGCAAAGAGACAACCTACTAAACAGGAGATATTTTCGAATCATATATCCAGTCAGAAGTAAACACCCAAAATATTTTGGATAAGAAAGAAGTCAACACCAAAATAAAAGGAAATATTTCAACTAAAATGGGCAGAGGACCTGAACAGACAGTTTTCCAAAGAAGATTTACAGATGGCCAATAGACACATGAAAGGATGCCCAACATCACTAATCATCAGAGAAACGCAAATCAAAATTTGTCAGGATAGCTAGAATTATACTTGTCAGGATAGCTAGAATTAAAATTTTAAAAATAACAAATGTTGGTAAGAATGTGAAGAAAAAGGAATCCTCATGCACTGTTAGGAATGTAAATTGGTATAGTCACTGTAGAAAACAGTATGAAGATCCCTCAAAAATAAAAAGACATAGTGTAGGGACACCTGGGTGGCTCAGTTGTTAAGCATCTCCCTTTGGCTCAGGGAGTGATCCCAGGGTCCTGGGATTGAGTCTCGCATTAGTTTCCCTGTAGGGAGCCTGCCCCTCCCTCTGCTTATGTCTCTGCCTCCCTCTCGGTCTCTCATGAATAAATAAATAAAATCTTAAAAATAAAAAAGATATACTGTATGATCTAGTAATTCCACTACTGGGTATTTACCCTAAGAAAAAGAAAACACTAATTCAAAAAATATATACACCACTATATTTATTGCAGCATTGTTTACAATAGCCAAGATATGGATGCAATTTTAGTGTCCATCAATAGAGTGGACAAAGAAGGGTGTATATATACAATGGACTATTACTCAGCCATTAAAAGAATATCTTGCCATTTATGACATAACAGGTAGACTTAGAGGGTATTATAAGTGAAACACATCAGACAGCAAAAGACAAATATATGATTTGACTTACATATGGAATATAAAAACAAAATCAAATGAATAAACAAAAAAAAACAGACCCATAAATACAGAGAACAATCTGGTAGATGCCAGGGGTTGGGGGTAGGAGGATTGGCGAAATGGGTAAAGAGCAATGAAAGGTAAAGGCTTCCAGTTATGGAATGAATAAGTCATGGTATTAAAGGTAGAGCACAGTGAATATAGTCAAGGTTATCATAATAGCATTGTATGGTGATAGATGGTAGTTACACTTGAAGTGAGCATATGTATAGAGTTGTTGAATCACTATGCTATACACTAAAGCTCAACAAAAATAATTCAGAAACCAAAAAGGAAATTGGAAAGTATCTTTAGACAAACAAAAATGAAAACACAATATACCAAAACTTATGGGGTGTGGCAAAAGCAATTTTAAGAAGGAAGTTTATACAATAAATGTTTATATCAAGAAAAAATAATTTCGGGGCACCTGGGTGGCTCAGTGGTTGACTGTCTGCCTTTGGCTCAGGTTGTGATCCCGGGGTCCTGGGATCGAATCCCACATCAGGCTCCCCACAGGGAGCCTGCTTCTCCCTCTGCCTATGTCTCTCCCTCTTTCTCTGTGTCTCTCATGAATAAATAAATAAAATCTTTTTTTAAAAAGGAAAAAACCCCTCAATCTAACAACCTAAGGAACTAGAAAAACAAGAACAACCAAGCCCACAGCCAAAAGGAAGGAAATAATAAAGATTAAAACAGGATTTTAAGATGATGGCAGAAAAAGAAGCAACAGGGATCTGTCTCCCCACTACACAATGCAATTGCACTAATGGAATATCTGATGTAACTGTTCTTGAACTCTGAAAACCGTTGAAGGCTTATATACCCAGGGGGTGACTTGCATGATAAATTGTGTTGAATTTTGGTCAATTACAGCTCTCAGCACAGTAGCAGCTACCCATCACGTACTTCCCGTCAAGTGGTGCATATTTCTGGAGCATTCTGCATACCAGTTAGGGAAAACTGATTGGGGGAAAGAAACATGTTGTCCAAATATTGGAGGTCTTTGCTCTGATCACTGATTGCTGCTTCTGATCACAGAGGTGCAAAGAGGCAGGAAGTTAGTATTGTTGTGCATTCTCCCATTGTTCCAAGCCTCTCCCCTCTGGCTGAAGAGACTTCAAGGTGCCTTAAAGCACCACCAGAACTCTTTTTCCACCCCATTTTTCACCTTACTTTTCCCCTTTTAGGATCCAGACTATTTAAAACTAATAAATTAAAAAATAGCTGTATATATAAGTAAAATTATAAAGTGACCACATGTGCCCAGGAGGAGGTCCAGAAAAGACCTAAGAAGATATTAAGTTTATGCCTCATCCTCAGCACAGAGGCAACCTGCAACAATAAACAAAAAATAAATAAATAAAACCCAGCAAACCCTGGAGAAGAGGGAAAATCTTATTTCCAGAGTTGCCACATTATTAGATTTAAATTTCCAGTGTTCAGCAAAAAATTCACAAGACATACAAAGAAATAGGAAAGTATGGCCTACTCAAAGGAAAAACACAAATCAACAAATTGCCAAAGAAAAAGGCTTTGGAACGCTTGGGTGGCTCAGTAGTTGAGTGTCTGCCTTTGGCTCAGGGTATGATCCCAGTCCGGGGATCAAGTCCCATATCGGGCTCCCTGTGAGAAGCCTGCTTCTCCCTCTGTCTATGTCTCTGCTTCTCTCTGTGTCTCTCAGGAATAAATAAAAAAAATCTTTAAAAAAAAAAAGATCTAATGGCAGATATATATGACAAAGACTTTCTTTTTTTTTTTCTTTTTCAAATTCATTATTTAAATTCCAGTTAGCATACAGTGTAATATTAGTTTCAGGTGTAGAACTTAGTGATTCATCACTTAATTCAAAATCCAGTGCTCATCAAAGACAGAGACCTTAAAACAATTATCTTCAAGATGCTCAAAGAAATAAAGTATAAAGTCAATAAAATGATGTATGAACAAATATCAGTAAAGAGATAGAAAACCTAAAAAGAAATCAACAAGAAATTCTGGGGCTTTTTTTTTTTTTTTTAAATTCTGGGGCTTAAAAGTAGAATATCTGAAATTTAAAATTCAGTAAAGTGAACTAAAGGCAGACTTGAGTATGCAGAAGAACAAACCAGTGAGGTTGAAGATAAAAAATGGAGATTACTGAGACTGAGGACCAGAAGGAAAAAAGACTGAAGAAAAGTGAACAGAGGCTAGGGAAGATGCCAGGATAAGGAAGGAAACAGCTTCCCTTCTTTCAAGAATCGTACCCTCGAGTATTATCTCTCTTGATTTCTAGCCAGTGTCTTCAAACAATTCTTAAATCTTCTTCAGTTTTTAGAGTTGTTTTTGTCAGGCTCCTCCAGTACTGGGCGCTTAATTGTGGCTGAAACAGGAAGTCTCTTAAAAGTCTTGTTTTCCTGAGAACTGGGTTGACATGGGCCAGGGTACAGGAGTCATCTCCCATTTCCACAGAGCAAGAGAATATGAAGGATGACTATGTGATAGATAGGGATTGAACTGGGCAACTCTGGACCTGTCTTTATCCATTTGGTAACTAACTTTGGGCCAAGGCTATTTCTAGTTCTATAATCATGTAATTCTGTGATCCATTTTATAAGCATCATAGGCCAAATTCCCCATTATAAGTATAGACAAAGTAGAATTTAGAAATATGTAAATAATTGTAAAAGTTTAAAAACTATATCACCTCTGAGATTTAACATAAGTGAAATATCAGTTTCATGAAACTTTAAAATATTTAGAAGCTGGAGCTTCTGGAGCTTCAAGGAATGTCTCTTCTGGTTAAACATTTCAAATAAAAATGTTTTCTTAGTTGCCATGCATGCCTTACCAAGTACCAAATAGCACATAGCACATTACATGAAAAATATAATTATAGTATTAGCTATTTTAGATGATTCTGAGGTGATTATAGCTTTCATCAGTTATGCACAAAAGATAAAAACTTTGGAAACCATGGTTAACATATATATTTTAAAGTAATGAGGTTTTAGATTAAAATATTATAACTACAACATCAACCATAATTTAGTTGGATCACCAACTATCTAACTGCATTGAATTTATCTTTCCAAATTCCTTTGAAAGTAGATAACATAAGCTTTTCTTATTAACGAACATTGGTTTTCAAGAGGAGTGTAAAGTATACTCACCAATGACAATTAATAAAACTAACCTGTCCTGTCATTTCAGGAGCAACGGGAATGGTGGGCCATACGAAAGAGTAAATTGCAAAAAACACCAGCCATATAATTATGCTTCCCCAAATGGCCAAATGACTAAACTGCAGAAAGAAAAATATTACAGAGGCACTTCAGCCTTTTCTATTTATTTATTTTTGCCTTTTCCATTTAAACGAAAAAAAAATTCTTTATGAACTGACAAAATCATTTGTCTAGGCCATGTGTTCTCATATGAGGAAAATTATAATCTTTTGATTTCTTGAGACTTCCTTTCTAACGTCCTTCTCCAAATATTTTGCTGCAAACTCAAGGAGCCATTGTTTAAAGGATCCAAAACAACTGTACCTTGTCACCTAAGCCAAATGATATTCAGTGTCTTCAGTGAAATTGTTAATTCTCAATCAGAAGTGGTTTATACAATTGATAGGTTATTCAATGAGACTTCTGCTTCTGCCTACTTATTAAGCCAAAGCTCTCTTCAGAAAAAAAAAATTTTGAACAGAAATCATTCAAAAGGGTAAAAATGTGACCCTGTCATATCTGTTCTGGATGAATAATTTTGGGACAACGGCAGACGTTGTGACTCTTAGATTGAAACTGGAGGGGTTTTCTGTGCATATCAAGTATGGATGTCATTAGATTGAGGATGTTGGCTGAAGGATCACTGTCTGTGCATGGGGCTGGAAACTGTGCCAAATTCTTAATGGTAAATGCTAAGAAGGTCCTTCTGTTGATCTGACCTGTTACCTTGTATGATTTGTGTTAGCAGAGCAATCATAAGGAAGATGAGTAGGAGACCTGCATTCTAAACTGTGCAGGGTACCTCAGAGTTACCATCTATGTATAAATCAGTGATTTGTGAGATGAGATGATTTCTTAAGGGTTGAGTGCTCTCATCCTATTGAGTAGGTACTTCTCATTACTTAATCCAATCTGAACAACAAAAATATGGAGGAAAAAACTCTAATTTGCTATTTCTTCAACTATTTGTTTTTTCTTTATGAGTCCTTTTCAAAGGCAGTTTTTTAAACTCTTTAGAAGTAATCTCTAACTCAGAGGATTTCTCTCTCTGATTTAATAGAACTGGTCTCCTAAGGGATCATGCAGGAGATGATGGAGAAAAGAATCAGCTCAAGACTGTGAGCTTTAAACTTTTCAAACACTTTAGTGTATTTTCATGTAACCATTCACATTTAGTTGGCATTAATACAGGAGTGGCAATGCAAGGCTTTCTTTGTGGCTTAAAGAGTATTTTCAGGTGGGTTTCTGTTGGGATCATCCCCTTGGGGGCAGCAGCAAACTGCCATTGCTGCTCTGAGATATATTTCCTTCTCTCTCCCTGCTGGGCTCACTCTCTGTACCTAAACAGTGGCTGCCAGCATCCTCTACCTCAATGAAGAAGCCTGGGCATCCTCCTCAACCCTACCAACAGGGCAGAGTAGCCTATAACCAAAAGTGAGAACCAGTCCCTTTTTCTTGCCCCAGCCTGCCGGCTCCTTCCTAACCAACATGTGAGCTGGAGGGCAGGCATCTGGTAGCTCGTAGGCCAGACAAGTTTTGTTAAGTCCACTTTGGCTCTGAAATACTGCCTTATTCATAAATGAGATTCACCACATGCAGATAGGGTAGGTGGTTGTGCATTTAAGAAATACTCTTACTGAAGAGAATTTAACAATAATTAAAAGGAGGAATGGAAAATAATTGTTTATTTATATGTTACCTTAATGTGGTACAATACCACACAATTGTGCCATATGAATTACTAATAAAATATCTTTGTTCAGAACACTGCAGTTCCAACTTTGTGTTGATGCTCCCTGCTGGGGACAGTAGCAGTGAGAACTCTATGTTGTTTGCATTAGAGAAGAAATACAGGATATGCTAAGTAATTTTATTTATTTATTTATTTGTATTTGTATTTTTTTTTATTTTTATTTATTTTTTTTACGCTAAGTAATTTTAGCTCTCCAAAGGTGACAGGCTGATAAAAATTCATTTTCTCTCATAAACTTTTGAGTACAACTTGGAAAAAAACTTATAAGTGTGTATATGTGTATATGTACACTTAAATTATGGATCAGTTCATAAAAACATTCTACTTATCAGAAGTTCTACCTTTAATAATATTCTAGGGAAATTATTACTAATGTCTTTAAGTATACAAGTACATCTGTGTTCATAACAGTACTGATTATATATTATTTATAGCAACAGAAGTTAACACAATTATTCTAAAAACAATGTAAATAATAAGCATCTAGGTGATAAAATATTATAACACAGTCATTAAATAAAATATAAATATTAAAGACATAGGAAAATGTTAAGGACCTACTATTAAGTGAAAAAAGCAAATTATAAAATATTAGTTACCTTAGAATTCTATTTTTATGAAAAACAAAACAAAATCAGTCACATAAAACAAAGACTGAAAAAATAGAACATAAATCAAAATATCCGTATCATTGATATTGAAAGGTATGGGCTATTTGTATTTCTTTCTTTTTCTGTATTTTCTAAATTTTCCATTATAATTCTGTGCATTGATAATAATAATGAATTAAGGATCTCAATTAATGTCATGATAAATTGAATCTATTGCTAAGATATAAGGCAGGGAAATGAATCTTTTAAAGACATTAGCTAGCTAGCATGCCACCATCCACTTTAAATTAACAGTTGAATATGCAAAACAAAAGAAGGTAAAATATGAAGACCAGAAAAAAAATGCTTATTACTTTTTGAAAGCTTAAAAAGTTAACCAACATGCAAACAACAACTGTACAGGATTGAGGAAGTACCCTAAAGAATACTCACTTTAGTCCAAGATAGTGTGTCCAAACCAGCTTTCAGACAGACAGTAACAACCACGTACTATGCAAGGAGATGAGAAGGGGAAATAGATTGGAATTTCCATTATCATACACGTCATCTCACTCCCTCCCTGATTCCCCCACCCAATCCCTGTTCTCCACATCCAGTGAACTCTCGTGTCACAGGTCACTAACTGTTTTGGTAGGTGTTAATTGAGGAGAGAATGTAGTACTTTTCAATAAATGTTATCATATTTAGAAGCCCTTTAACATGACAAAAATCATGCTTATATTTACATTCTTTATAAATCAGAAAGATTTCTTTCTGATTAGGAATCCAACTGCTATTGATAAAAAGCACAGTTGAACAGGGTAAATTGAAATCGTCATAAAGAACATTTTGGCTATTCTTGGCCTTTTGCATTTTGATGTATACATACTTTAGAAATAGCCCATCAGGTATCTGGGGCTTTTGATTGGGATTAGAATAAACCTATAAATCATTTTGAGGAGAGTAGACTTCCTTTTAGTATTGAGTATTCCAATTAATGAGCATGGTATATTTCTCCATTTAGATGTTCTTTTTTTTTTTTCCATTTAGATGTTCTTAATGTCTCCAATATAGTCTTATAATTTTCCTCAGAGGTCTTGAACATTGTTCATTAGATTTGTTCATGTTAAAAACAAAAAGATTTGGGACACCTGGGTGGCTCAGCAGTTGATTGTCTGTCTTTGGCTCAGGGCGTGATCCTGGGGTTCTGGGATCGAGTCCCATGTCAGGCTCCCTGCATGGGGCCTGCTTCTCCCTCTGCCTGTGTCTCTGCCTCTCTCTCTGTCTCTCATGAATAAATAAATAAAATCTTTTAAAAAAAGACAACAAAAAGATTTGTTCACGTTTTTCCTTTGATATTATGGTAAAATAGTATATAAATTATTTTCTAAAAAATATTTATTTTCTAAATATTTATTGCTATTATGTTGAAATATAATTGGTTTTTAAACATTGGCCAATATCCAGCAAACTGCCAACCTCTTATTAATTACAATATTTGTAGAATTTTTTGTATTTTCTGTATACACAATTATGTATGATTTAATACCAATTTTTCTCCTTTTCCAAGGCTTGTGCTCCTTTTTTGTCCTCTTGTTGTGTTGGTTAGTAACTCCTGCACAATGTTGGAGAGAACTGACAATACTGAGCAGCTTTATTTTTCATCTTATTCTTAATCTCAAAAAAAAAAAAAAGCTGTCAGTGTGTCACAGAGTATGATTCTGTCAGTGTGGTTTCCTGTGCAACAACAGATGTGTGGTATACACCGGGTGTTTAACGTCCTACTTTCGAAGCAGACTTTATGTCCACTCTCTCGCTCTAGACTCAGCATTCCAGCTAGCATCCATCATCTCTTCTAAACTATTACAAAATCTTAAAGCCTCTGCCTACTGCCTCTGTCTACTAGCCTCTGCCTACTGCCTCAAGTTCACCTTTGCCATCATCCTGAACCTCCCTTGCCCAACATGCAGTTCACACCGTGCTCTAGTTCCATTGGGCTTCTTTAATTCCCTGAAAGCATTAGGGTGGACTCTACCTCCCTGGAGGTTTACTGCATTCCTCCAAGCACTATCTTTGGGCCTATTACTTCCTCCAACACACTGGCACTGGGAAGAGCATATCAGGAAAGCCGACTTAATGATCTCACCATGCTGACCGTACTAACTCTACAATTTTTTCTTTGGCTTCTCATTTTGAGGTATTTAGCATGGGTCTAGTCCCCTTTCCTTCTTCAATTGCTATGCTAAATTTATTTTGCTATTGTTTATTGGTGGTGGTTTTACTATACTTTTTTCTTTTTCTTTCTTTCTTTTTTTTTTTTTGCCTTGGGAGATTGAGATTCCATGAGATCAATTTACTCTGGCATCTTAACAAGGATTATTTTATATGTTTGCATATATACACACATGCCTGTATGTGGTAAGGTCTGAAAAGAAGGTAATTGCTGTATGCATATGTCCAAATAACTAAGAAACTACTACCTAACCACATTTGGTGTTTAGGACTATATAATACAGAATTAAAAGCCACAACCAATAACATGAAATAATAGACAACCAGCTAAAGTGAAAAGAGATAATATGCCCATAAACTGCTTCTTACACAGAAGAAAGCAACATGTGTTGCTAAATGAAAAGGAAAAACATGCAGAGGAGTATGTTTCTACTTGCATACCAACAGGATAACATACAATTAAATACACACCTATAATTTTTAGAATCATGAGTAAGAAATTAGTGGCAGACGCAAAACTCAGAAGCCATAAAGCAAAAATATCAATAAATTTAACTACATAAAACTAATATGCAGAATATATGCCATAACCAAAATGCCATGAAAAGTGAAAATGTAAAACTGGGAGTATATTTTTGTAACAAATATGAGGAAAAAAATTAACATCCTTACCACATAAAAATCTGCTAATAATAATAAAAAGACCAACAAACTAATGGAACTGGTAAGGTAATTCAACAAGCCTTCATTAAAGAAGAAACAGGGATCCCTGGGTGGCGCAGCGGTTTGGCGCCTGCCTTTGGCCCAGGGCGCGATCCTGGAGACCCGAGATCGAATCCCACATCGGGCTCCCGGTGCATGGAGCCCGCTTCTCCCTCTGCCTGTGTCTCTGCCCCTCTCTCTCTCTCTCTGGGACTATCATAAATAAATAAAAAAAAATAAATAAAATAAAATAAAAGAAGAAACAGAAGTGGTTTTTTACTTCAAGCAAATATGCTTATCTTTGCTTAGGCAAAGGCAATAACTGCAATAGAATACGTTTTACTTACGAGATCAAAAGTATGAGAAGACTACTGCCCATAGTGGCTTAGGGAAACTGATATTCTTTTTTAAAATTATTTTATTATTATTATTTTTTATTGAAGTTCAATTTGCCAATGTATAGCATAACACCCAGTGCTCATCCCATCAAGTGCCCCCCTCAGTGCCCGTCACCCAGTCACCCCCACCTCCCCTCCCACCTCCCTTTCCACCACCCCTAGTTCGTTTCCCAGAGTTAGGAGTCTCTCATGTTCTGTCTCCCTTTCTGATATTTCCCACTCATTTTTTTCCTTTCCTTTTTATTCCCTTTCACTATTTTTTTTGTGCCTCTTTTTTTAAATACATTAATTTTTTATTGGTGTTCAGTTTACCAACATACAGAATAACACCCAGTGCTCATCCCAAGTGCCCCCCTCAGTGACCCTCAGTGCCCGTCACCCATTCACCCCCACCCCCCGCCCTCCTCCCCTTCCACCACCCCTAGTTCATTTCCCAGAGTTAGGAGTCTCTCATGTTCCGCCTCCCTTTCTGATATTTCCCACACATTTCTTCTCCCTTCCCTTCTATTCCCTTTCACTATTATTTATATTCCCCAAATGAATGAGAACATACACTGTCCTTCTCCGATTGACTTATTTCACTCAGCATAATACCCTCCAGTTCCATCCACGTTGAAGCAAATGGTGGGTATTTGTCGTTTCTAATGGCTGAGTAATATTCCATTGTATACATAAACCACATCTTCTTTATCCATTCATCTTTCGATGGACACCGAGGCTCCTTCCACAGTTTGGCTATTGTGGACATGGCTGCTAGAAACATCGGGGTGCAGGTGTCCTGGCGTTTCATTGCATCTGTATCTTTGGGGTAAATCCCTAACAGTGCAATTGCTGGGTCGTAGGGCAGGTCTATTTTTAACTCTTTGAGGAACCTCCACACAGTTTTCCAGAGTGGCTGCACCAGTTCACATTCCCATCAACAGTGTAAGAGGGTTCCCTTTTCTCCGCATCCTCTCCAACATTTGTTGTTTCCTGCCTTGTTAATTTTCCCCATTCTCACTGGTGTGAGGTGGTATCTCATGGTGGTTTTGATTTGTATTTCCCTGATGGCAAGTGATGCAGAGCATTTTCTCATGTGCATGTTGGCCATGTCTATGTCTTCCTCTGTAAGATCTCTGTTCATGTCTTTTGCCCAGGAAACTGATATTCTTATAACTAAATGTGTGCAACCTCTTTGGGGTATAATTTAGTAATGATTTTTAAAATTCACAGTACCCTCTGATCCAGCAATTACACTTCTAGAGATTTGTCCTACAGACATACTTACTCATGGGTATAAAGGATAATACTTGCAGCATTGCTGACAATGGCAAAGGACCCAAAACAATTTTAGTGTCCACTAATAGAAGACTGAGTAAATAAATAATGGTGAGATAGTCATATAAGCAGCCCTGAAAGAATGAAGTAGATATTTATGGGCTTATTTGAAGTCATCACCAAGGCATACCGTATAGTGAAAAAACAAGATATAGAAGAGCACCTCTCTACCTGTACAAAAAAGGGAAGGATATATATGTTTGTTATATGTATTTCATATTTATAGAAATTATATATGCATGCATATATATACACCCGCACATATATACACATGCATATGCAACCATTATAATAGTTCATTCTTGGAAAAGGTACTGAAGCATGTAAAACTTATGAAATTCTTATAATGCTTGAATTTTTCAATTAAAAACTAGAAAAGGCAATTTAATTATATGGGGGATCTTACCGTATAAATAAAATTTCCAAGAAACAAATAGTCTGTAGTGTGACCCCCTTGTAAGACCATATCTGAAAAATGAAAAAGTCATTTTTAAAAATCTCTTATAGAGTCTGAAACATAGATTTGAATTTATTTTTACCAAAGGAACCCATACTAGCCACCAAAAATGTTTCTCAATTATTGGTCATATTTCAAAAGTGACAACAATGTTTCCATTGTTGCCTGTCACAATTCTAACATTTTTCCATTTCTTATTCTCTCCAAAGATATATTAAGCAAAAAATGGGTAAATAAATTGCAAGGAATACATGAATGTGATTATGAAAACTAGTTTCAGATGCATAAAGACCATCTGGCAAATTGAAAATCCAAACCATCTCATGAGTGATGTTAGGACACAAGGCTAGGATTTTAAGCATTTTAAAATCATACTTTTCACTTTATTTCTTTCCCAGGATTACTAAAATAATAAACCTAACAGATAATTTAAATTTATAATGGAATTTCATATTCTCTTATTGCTAAGTCTACTAGAACTTATGAATGTCATTCTGTATGAAGGGTTAAAGCTATCTCAAGATTAGGGTGATTTTTTCACTTATAAAAATTCTCAAATATATAGTTGTCCTTTTGGCCCTGGTTGATATAGAAATTTTGAGGGATGTAAGTTCCTGATCCCAACACTGAGTCAGAAGCTCACTTATTCTATTTTCTCCTGATTTATAACCCACTAAAATACACAAGGCTCATAACCCTTTCTTAAAATTATCTACAGTGGAATATTAAGGCATCTCATTGACAGAAGCTATAGGTAAATATTCGGGCCAGTTTAGAACAGTTAGAGAAGTGACAATCGAGTCTGGATTGTGTATAGACCTAACTTGGTGAGTTTTAATGGGAATGGGGTGATAGTATAGATGAGAAAACTGAATAGAATGGCCATATTGAGTTATGTTGTCTAGATGCATATTCACAAAGGGAAGAGAGAAATTATAAGATTTGTTGGGACAAAAGGGAAACTTGCAGTTTGCACATGGTGATGTAATACAGAAATTCTTTTCTTTCTTGATATTGTACAAAATCAATGATGCAAACAGAAAACTTCCACAGAATCTATGTGAGGAAAACCGTGAGACAAAAAAATCCAGTCTCAGAAAGCTTAATGAGGGTTTTTAAGCAGCTAAGATGAACACAGAAGCTATACTTGGTGATAGTAAAAGCACCAGAGCAAAGTAAATATCAACTGCCCAAGGGCAGCAGACCTCAGAAATATCAGCAAAAATACTCTCCTTAAAAGAATATTCTTCCATTAGCTGGGAAAGAGAAAATCTAATTTCTTGAGGAATGATATAAAAAGAAGCAAGCACAACATCCATAAAAAGAGACCATAGGAAAAAGGCACGGTATTCTATTCTATGTCATTTGTGCGGTTACCATTCACTATACTAGAAATTTGTCTAATGTATAAAATATGTTTGAAAATGGTTTGAAAGCAGAGGTACCTGGGTAGCTCAGGTGGTTAAGTGTCCCACTCTTGATTTCAGCTCAGGTCATGATCTCAGGGTCATGAGATGGAGCGCCACATTGAGCTCTGCACTCAATGTGGAGCCTGCTTGAGATTCTCTCTCTCCCTTTCCCTCTGCCCCTCCCCTCATGCTCACTCTTTCTAATAAATAAAATCTTTAAACCAAAAAATTGTTTTTTTAAATTCTAAAAAAAAGGTTTGAAGGCAAATGAACAGAAGGGCACCAAAACTTATTAAAGTATACTCACCAAGGAATTAAAAACAAAAACACCTATTATAACCAGCCAACAAAGAAATGATTCAGAGAAGCCAGAGCAAAAAGACTTACTGTGCGAATTTGATATATTTGACCATAGAATTAAAATAAAGCAAAATTAAAAACATAGTGCTAGAATGACCAATCTGATTGTAATTATTCAATGGCCTAGACAATGTGGGGATGATGAAATTTATATAATATCTGAGGATAGGTGAATTCGATGGGAAGTACAGTAAGTTTGCAGACTGTCTCATCTAAAATTGGGAGTTAATAAAGAATATTCAAAGTTAACAAATGATGGAATTACAAGTTTATATCAAGTGTAAAGGCATGCCATATGCAAGATAATGGGTTGCTAGAGGAGAAGGAAGGGAGATGGAAGGATGGGGAACATAATTCTTTTTTTTAAAGATTTTATTTATTCACAAGAAACATTTTTATGTTAATTCAAACTTTACTATAAAAATGAAAAGGGAAATGATGATGCACAAGATGATCATACACACTAGTGAACACGTGTTGGAGGGAAGTGGGAAAGGCAGTAAGGCAGTCCCTTCCCATGCGCCATGAGGCAGTACCCACCACAGTCCTAAAAAAAAGGCAGGAAAGTATCATCTGCTGATGTAGGGAAGGATCAAACTTTTCATAGGGAATGTAACTACCTGCCAAAACAAAATCCAAGTATTTAAATGTATACAACAAAAAACATTCAGCAGTATAAAATTCACAATGTCCAGCACCCATTATAAAATTATGATATATGAAGAAGCAAAATTATGACCCGTAAGCAGGAGAAAATTGGCAATAGAACCAACACAGAAATAACATACATATTGGAATTAGCAGGAAAATTTCTAAGATAGCTATTGTAAGTTTTACAGTTACACTCAGACATTTGAAAGAAAGCAATGAGAGAAAGGAAAGATGTAAAGAAGAACTAATTTGAATTTCTAGAGATGAAGAATATTAATACATGGAAGGAAAACATCACTGGGTTGTTATTAACTTCAGAGAGACTGCTAAATAAAAGATCAGTGAACTTAAAGACAGGGCAAAAGAAACTAAAAATGAACCAAAAGAGAAAAAGATGGTATAAATAAAGAGGTGGGAAAATATCAAGAGTTCTAATAGGTGTGTAGCTGGAATCCCAGAAGAAGAGGAAAAAGAGTGAGAGAAAAAATATAAAAAGAAATGATGAGTAAATTTTCCCATATTTGAGAAACTATAAACCAGTAGACCCCAAACTGAGTGATCTCAAGAAGCATAAATGCAAATAAAACCAGACCAAGGCATATCAAAATCGAATTGCTGAAAATCAGCAATAAAGAGAAAAATCTACAAATCATACAAAAATAGAAAACATAATAGAGAAACAAATAGAAAAAATATCAGACTTCTCAACAAAATAATACAAACCAGAAGATACCAAGCATTTTCCAAGTGTTGAAGAAAATGAACTATCAACCTAAAATTCTTTATACAGCAAAACTTTTTTTTTCAAAATTGAAGGAAAAAATCTTGACAAATAAAATTTGAAAGAATATTAATTTGCTTTAAATTTAAAAAGAATTTAGATTAGCTTTAAATGCTTATGTTAGAGTAGGAGTCTATAAAATCAGTGACCTAATCTTCCAACTTCAACAAGTTGGAAAGAAGAGCGAATTAAATCTCAGTTAAGTAGAAGGGAAAGAAATAATAAGGGTAGAAATTAATAAAATATAAAAAAATGGTATATAAAATCAATGAAACCAAAGTTGGTTTTTTGAAACTATCAATAAAGTTATTCAGCTGCACTTATCACCACAAAAAAGATAATTCAAAATTACCAGTATCAGTAAATCAAAGAGAGAATATCAGTAAGTTATGAGTATCACAGATAATAAGGGAGCATTATAAATAAAAATGTATGCAAATAAATGTGACAACTTGGGTCAAAATTAAAAATTCCCTGAAAGATAAAAATTAACAAAATCAATTCAATTAAAAAACTGAATATCCTTATATCTAGTAATAAGATTAAAGTCATAATTAAAAATTTTCCCATGAAGAAGACTCAATACCCAAATGACTTCATCAGTAAAGTCTATCAAATATTTGTGGAAGAAATAATACTAATCTTAATCTTTTTCAGAAAACAGAGGGAAACACTGTCCAAGTCAATTTAACAAGCAAGTACTACCATGATTCAAAATCCAGACCAAGACTATTATGGGTAAAATCAGACAAATATCTCTTACAAATATAGGTGCAAAATCCTTAGCAAATATAAACAAATCAAATCTAGCAAATTGTAAAAAGGATAATAAATCATGACCAACATGGGCTTATTTCAAGAATGCAATGTTGGCTTAATATTCAAATATCAGTGAATATAATTAGTCATATTAGCAATAAAGGAGAAAAATATGATCTTAATAGATACATTTAAAAATAATTTCATCAAATCACAAATCTATTCACAATAAACTAGCAAACTAGAAATAAAAAGAAACTTCCTCGCGATGTCTGGGTGGCTCAGTGGTGGAGCATCTGCCTTCTATTCAGGTCATGATCCTGGGGTCCTGGGACAGAGTCCCGCATTGGCTTCTCCCTCAGCCTAGGTTTCTGCCTCTCTCTGTGTCTCTCATGAATAAATAAATAGAATCTTAGAAAGAAAGAAAGAAAGAAAGAAAGAAAGAAAGAAAGAAAGAAAGAAAGAAAGAAAGAAAGAAAGAAAGAAACTTCCTTGATATGCTAATGGACGTCTGTGCTAATATCATAATTTATGGTAAAAAGAATTTTTCCTCTCAAGAGGAAAAAAAGCAAACATGTCTACAATCATCATTTCTATTTAACATAGTTCTAGAGGTTGTAGACTCTGCATCAGTGCAAGGGGAAAGGAAAAGGAAAGAAAAGGAAGAAAGGAAAAAAGGAAAAAGCAAATCTCTATTCATAGACAACATGGTCGTATATATAAAAAATCCTAATAAAGCAAAAAATAGCTACTAGAAGAATTAGCAAATTTAGCAAAGACACAGGATGCAAGTTATTGTAAGAAATAAAATGTATTTCTATATAGTAACAATGAAATTTGGAAAATAAGATCTAAAAATACTACTTAGAATACCATTCAAAACTTGAATACTGATGGATAAGTTTAACAAAAGATGTGCAAAGACACAAAACATGCCGGAGAGAAATGAAAGACAAGTTATTCAAGAGATATGTTTATGGATTGGAAGACTCGATAATGTTAAAATGTCAATTCTCCAATTCTCCTGAAGTTAATCTATAGATAAAATGCA